CCAAATACGATTGATTGCCGGTCCCATTCCATATCCCCTACAAACGTCACTCACGTCCTCATTCAGCACTTCTAAAATAAATATCACTTTGGTAACTATGCCCAAACACATAGCTTCTATATCTTGCAGTATTTCTTTATTTTTATAGAATGAAAAAGAGCTATGGAACCCCAATCCGCCGATCAAATACAACCAACAAGACCCGCTCGAAGGCACTATTGTAAGCGGAGTGATGAAGATTTTTGAAGGTGGAAGATGCTCCGAGCTGGCTGAAGCAATTTCTCATTTCCCTAGTCCAAAATTATTCACCTATCTCGGAGTTCCTTCCCCTCCAAGATTCTTGGTGTAACAGAATCGAATTCCTCGTGGAAGCGCTAGGGCAAAGGTCCTTGGAATAGAACGCCGGAGAAAATGAAAATTGCTGACGCACTCCGGTGCTCCCTTCTTAAAGGTAGCGATTACGATAAGGAAGAAGCGCATCGGGGAAGCATATGCACCACACGAAGCAGTTACTTGGCTGCCAAGGAAGCGAGGTGTGGCGCTTTCACGACGAAAGGTGCGCTGGTTGCTGAGCAGGACTTCGAAAGCACTCCGCCCCAAAAGCGATCCGCCCACTAGTTTAGTTGGTGATTTGGACGAGCTGCGTTGCCAGCAGCGGCACAACTGGAGCAACTCGATTGGAGCGTGGTTTGGCATGGTGCCACCAAACGCGTTGCGTGAACTCGTTCATACGTCCGATTTCTGAGCTGTTACCTGTTCATGAGTGGAAGTCAGGGAAAATGGGGATGGCTCGTTATTCATCGCACCTAATCAAGCTCGCCTCCAGCTAAGGTGTGAAGCAATCCTAATCAGGTGCGAAGGCGTGGAGGTCACTCTGCTACGCACACATCTCTAGAAGTCGATCCAAGGGATTAGCGATCGGGAAAGCTATATCAACGGTAGTACGGGAAAAGGCAACCCGGCAAGACAAATTAGTATCGTTCAAGTGGAACTATGAAGCTAAATATAATCCCTTTCGAAAAAACGATGAAGTGTCGGGTGCAGATCATACACCACAAGTGACGACGGCCTTCACTTGGCGACAAGCTAATATCAAGCAACATCGCTAACTAAGTATGGGTTCAGGGAAACAGTCGAAAACTAGGACATAATGTTGACTTTTCAATAATTTCATAAGGCACTGATGACATGCACCTCTGAACTTATGAAATTTACATATGAATTCAAATCAAAAAAGGGATTTTTTTTTAATCGTGCATATCAAAATGTGCAGAATGCGTATATAAATGAGTTGCTACGCAAAGACATGCAGAATTGAACGAAAGTGAAAACGTATTACAGAGGATACTTATTTTCATTATAGCTCAGCAGAATACTTATTTTGGTGACTCCATTTTACTATCAGTACAGTTTACTACACGTCTCCATAGATCAAGCGACTGCCTCTAGCCACCATGAGGTAACCGATATAAGTAAATCTATGGCAATCAGAAGTTGAGCAGTCTGTAGAACGGCGTCTTGAGTATCGACGGACGACGACCTGACGTATTCTGAGACGGCTGCAGGTAGGGAAAGCAGGAGTCATATTTAGGCGGAATCTTAATTGAATGCAGCCTGGTTACAGACTCTTCAACGATTTAGGTAGATAATACAGTTATGGTTAGAAATTGGAGAAGACGAACTTGATATCAATTTCCAGGAAAAAATCATACCAGGATAACGCATCATCATTCAGCGACGCCACCAACGTACAGGCAGTAAACACCTTCTCTCGATAATCATGAGTTAAGTTCGAGGTCAAGAGGTCAATGGCTAGGCTCTGCCAAGTAATCGGCCAGGTTACACAACGACGTCATTACATCATGTTTGACAATGTAGCAGCTCAGGTGTTGTTTGACTTACTTCTTGACTAATTGTCAGTGTACTACTGAAAAGCTGACAGCTAGATTTAAAGGACCATAGCTTCGGGCTACAATACCCTTAAGAAATCGCCTTACACTGGCTAGAGTGCTGGGCCACCTCCAAGTGTCAGTTAACGCACCTTTCTACTCCCTAGGAGCCATGCTTCTAACAGACTCCACCAAACATAACATGGTCCGCCCACGATCGATGTCTTGTCTGCGTCGCTGCGTTGATCTGCTATGCTCTCTCTTCGGACTTCTCTACCACTCTCCGCGCTCACATTATCTCTCCTCCCTGCCTGTCTTTTGAACTTCTCCACAGCATGGAGCAAAATGCTCGTATTTCCTGTGTATTTCAGGATTTTCTTTCCTTTTTTCTCCACTGGCGGTCCACCTCCCATCCCTACTTTCACATTTGAGTGGAATCAACCCATCAATTTAATCCTGATTCTTGCCTTTAAGATGGCGGTGCAATGAACAAGCATGGTGCTCGGAAACTGCGCGTATTCGAAATTCGTATTCAGCTTTTTTTTTAACGAGATAAAGAATTGATCAGACCAGTAGACTAGCAATTTGACATCGTACATCCATTCTAGTACGGCCCTTCAAAAATACCGTTAACCTCACAGAAATGAGGGAAATTGGATCCATAGGAATCTGGAGGACCCACCCCAGCACCAGCTCTTTTCCCACTCTTTATTTTCGGGTATGAACAAACAGTTAGAACAGGTAACCCTTGCCAAATTGACGATGGTCGTGCAAGATTCAAGCTGCAAACAGGGTCGATCCTACCGTTGCGACTTTTCGGAAATTTTTTACGACCCCTCCCCTTCCAATCAAAAATTTCACGACCCCCCTTCACCACCCTCGCCATCATGGTCGCTGTTTCTATAGTATTTAATTCTGAGACCAGTCGACACACCTACACCTAACTCCACCCACTTTTCCCTCCAAAACAGCCGTCGAGCGGGGTGAAATGGCAAAATTTTTCTCGCTCCTTCACACTACGCGCCCTAAACTCAACCATAAATTCTAAGATTACATCTAATACGACCCCCCCCCACCTACAAACTCAACAAAATACGACCCCGCGTTGGTACTTGTCGCAACATAGGGATTGGCCCTGCCTGTAAAGCGAGGGCGAGGTAAGCAGGCTTCTCGGAACAACGTCGCCTTCCACTCTCAAGAACCGAACAAACTATGGTGTTTCTTCAATTCAAATATCGGATTCAAACGTGTGCACGCACAAGCTACTTCAACTGGCTACTACCAGCTCCTTTCCAGTACAGAGCTTATAGACCACTTGTGCTGATTCTTATTAGTCAGGTTGCATGTATGTCTCACTTGGAACAACAAACAAACAACGCAAAAAAACTCCGCTGAAATTTATGCTACCATCTTCATCCTTCAATATACCGGCTAAAATGGCAAACTATTCAAGTGAAGTTAAATCCATTGAATTGAATAACCTATTAAATGACAAACAGACAAAAAGCAACAAGGCCTGAAATAGTAGCCGATGCACTAGACCTACTCAGTAATTCCTCTATGATATCGAAACTTCCTTCTAGCATCTCTAGCTCAACAACTACCACAAATACTAGTGAAAGCAGAAATTGACAAATATAAAAACACGAAAATAATGACGAAAGCACAACGGAAGGGACATGTAAGGCCTATGTGAGCAACAAACTCAGATCAAATTGGTGAGGTAATAGCGGTCGACAATGAAATTGTGGATCTCGACTGAGGAAAGCAACAAAGCAAACTAGTGATTAAACTCTTGAAGAGTGACTTCCTCTGTTCCCCACGAGATGAGGGAGGGAAGTGACCAGACGAGTTGTCTGAACTAGCTTGCTCTATGGCTCCATTGACCCTTACGTATTTGAAGAAGCGCTACGTCGTAATCCACGGTATCATGGGGTACTGGTCTTGTCCATTAGCTCTTATTAGCCACTATTAGCTCATCTCCTCTAACGCCATTGTCACGCACTGTCGAGCCAGGTCAACGGCACAACTGCGACACTGATGGGCAACTCTACCTAACTAAAATGAATTGCTCGGCACGACCTCCTCTGAATTTGTTGCTTTGAATCATTGAACAGTTATTTTGACTTCGCAGAATTGCTTCAATAGAATCAGCAATGTACCGTGCTCGATCTCGTTGAAGGAAATGACCGCTCATTTCGAAATTGACCGAAACCTAAAATAATGCCGAGTTCACGCTTTTAGAGAAGACAAATCTCCAAGATATACAAAAACACTCTACACCTATTAAGTATGACTGACTTACTCTACTGCTGAAGCTTTTGGACTGAGAGCGAAAGAAAGAAAAATGAAGTAAAGAAAGAAAGTCAATTTCTAAGAATATGCGCATCAGGAAGAACTAATTATGAACTTACAGTTTTAGCTTTTTTTGAGAAAAGTTCACGTGTTTCTTGTATAACCTTTTCCTCTGATACGTCATCGTTATCCTTACAAGCCTGAAAAAAATGTATGCATGTTTATGTCTGTATGTATGAAATTCCAATTCAACATAACAGACACAGAAATACTCCTCTCAACACGCGCTGGTTGCGAGGTTATGAACAATAGCTGATCAAGTAGTTCGAGTAGAAAGCCTACAAAGGCGTACCCACCAGCGCTCTGTGATCACTGAAAGAAGTAGCAAGTTCTCGTGAAATCTTCGGTTCGATAAGCATATCCTTTCCAGCATATACCACCAGCACACGGGCCTGCAATGGAGTATAGCTACCCCTTCTATTCAATTTTTAAGCAGATGATACAGCAACACTTACAGCTTTACACCGATTAATAATGTCAATGTGTGCGCGCAAGCCCTTCCCATATTCGAGCGATGCCATCGTCCGGATACACATCATTGCCCTTTCTCCTGTATCCAGTCGCAGACCAATAATATTGTTGTAAACTGAAGCTAATCACATTTTGAATGGCACAGTTGTCCTCCAACGACACTCAGATAAAGAAACAGAAAATGACACTTTTCCCTCTGATTGAATGCTGCTCTTCTCTTACCAAAAACACAACAAAAAGATCACTAATTTTTGCTCGTCACAAATTTACAAAGGTCTGATGAAAGGAAGCTGAAATTTTACAAAGGTTTGATGAAAGGAAGGAAAGGAGCCTTCCGGACCATTTTGGTTGTAATTCCAAATGTAATCGATGATTAAAAACTCACAGAACTTCATCAGAGGATGCATTACTTTCTTAGCTGTTGGTCCAAGCGAGTACAGCCATAGAACAAGTTCAATCACCCAAAAAGGGCGTTGAGCTCGATGACGACGGAGACCAGTAGGATTCACCAACACCACACCAGCCAATATTTCCTATGATATGATAGATACAGTGTCAAATTTAGAAAAGGTCTCGCATGTGTTTGTAAATAAAAAATCAACAGCAATGTAAATCATCAAGCAATTTTCGACTCAATTGAACACTGATCATGAGATGGAGTTTTTCGCATTCTAATAACTGTGAAAGCATATAATAAAACCACCTTGTCTAATAATGCTAGGCCAGGTAAAAAAAGGAAGTTTCAGATCTACTACTGTCCGTTTTCTAGAATTTCGATCCCTGAGCACGCTAATCACCACTGACTTCATTTATAATGACAAGGCCTTGAGTCTGGTCCTACACTGAAGCCATAGTTGTAGGACCAGACTTTATGCGGAGCTGATACGCATGTGATCAAAATAATGATACGATAATACAGGTAATACTTACTGCATTTCTGGCGGCTACCGCAACTGCATTCTCACATCCTCTGCTGTGCCCCATCACTATCAACTTTTCCACGTTGCCGATTCTAGCGACCAGTTCATTTACGAAATTATTCCGCTCCGTGTTATCACATCGCAGGCGAGAATCACCTTCAAAATATTGCAGGTAATGTCACCGGTTCCCATAAATTATGAAAGGAT